AACGCTTAAGCCGAACCTACTCGAACAATTCTATTCGGGGGGATAGCTAATTCTTTTTGATAAGTCTCGCCATAGACTTCCAAAACATTTATGGGGAAACCAAACACCCAATCTCAAGTCGTTCGTCTAAAAGACAACAGACATTTGAACCAAACTATATTTTGCCATGTAAAGCTAACTTAACCCAAGTTAGAAATGGAAAAGTAGTTTGGAACCCTTTTCTATAGGCTTAAACCCCTGTAGTTACCCCTTTTCAGCATGCTCCACCCCTTAACTGGTAGTCGTAGCTGTTCCCAACCATAATAGCTTACACACCAGGTGCATATAGTTTAAGGCCTTATGTAAAATCACCTTCATAAGCCCACCTTAAACCACATAATTGCATGACACATTTGAACCAGAACGACACAGGCTGGACGTCGCTGGAGACAACCTTCGCTGGAGGCGACCTGCAATCCTGACGTTGGTCTCCACTCTTCATCCAGTGGCCGCTTCTTCAGTTCAACCCAAGGGTACCCCTCTGTATGCTGAATAATCAACACTTCCAATCGTTGTGGATTTACCGTTGTGGATTATATGACCTTTTCCAATGGATTACAGACTCTGTTTCCAAGGGGTTAAAGCATTGCTACAATGGAATGATCGAGACGATATGGAATTATAATCAACACAATGGAATTACCAAGAACATTGTGGAATTACTTTTGACTTTTGTTTTCCTTGCTGGATTACTTTTGACTTTTGTTTTCCTTGCTGGATTACTCTTGACTCTTGTTTCTGTGCTGGATTACATCAAGCTTCAAGGACAATCGACGGCGTAAGTCCATAGTTGGAATTCATCCCCATGGACAGGTGATGATTTCCAAAGGGGGGACTGTAGTGGACTAGGCCCATGTCAAAAACTAAGTCTAAGGTCAAAAATCTTGACCTTAAGAACCTTGTGGGACAGGAACTGTCATTTCATTGATTTGAATCCAGAAATACAGGTTCACCCATCCTGAGACTTTCTTTCTTGAAGATTCAAGTGAAAAGAACACTCTCTGTTTTATTATCATTACTATTTTACAAATGTTGATAATCAAAGTGTCTTAGTTCAAACCATTTTAGATGTTGCAGTGAACTAATCAATTTTATTAACTGTGTAATGATTTTTATTCTCATGCAAAGTTAGAACTCATGTCAAAGCTGTTACAGAGTAATTATGCCTTTTCTGATTTCTGCTTTTGAATGAGCAAGTGTAAGTTGGTCCAAGGTTGGAGTCAAACGCAAAACAAGTTGTTGGCATGTTTTTAGAATCCTCTCAGACATAAATATAGAGGTTTTGGCACCTGTTTCTAAACTCGCCAA